TGTATTTATAGTAAAACGTGTCCCCCTCCCCCTTTTTTTACGTAGAAACCTGAATTGTAAGCATGCATGCCTTATATTTTGAAGTTATTAATTCGAGGTATTTGAGATCAATGAAATGTAATGTGCGGAATTTGCTGTGTGAGTGGACCATGCTTTTCAATTTCATATTATGAAAATTAGTTTAACTGGTTCAAAAAGGTAAAATTTGGAACAAATGATAAAAAAATGTGAAGTAAATCACAAGCGTTTGATGATTCATAATTAGAGGAAATATTGAGGGATTTCATTTCAAATGCAAGGAGAATTTGAAGAATGTTTAGATTGACTCAACAAGCAATTTTTCCACTTATCTGTCTAAAATTATAAGAACCGCAACAAGGCTGTTAATTTTTTGTTGCCGATTTAATGCACCATTTTCAAAAAGGCCCACGGAGAAAGGAGTATTTAAGACTAAAAGCTTGGTTAAAATAATTGTTAATCTTTATAGCAGGAATTAATAATCATACGTGCTGCCCATCTGATATAGTAGTTTTTGGTTAGTATTAAGTAGGGCCTGGGTTTGAATCCCGGAGAAGGCATGGATATATGTAAATGTATAGTGTCTTTGCGGCATGGGGCTACTCTAAATAGCCGTCGAGCCGCAAACCCTCGTCGTAAAGGTTGGTGGAAGGAAAAGAGAGGTAGGAGGCCCTCGACCACCTCCAGGTTGTTCTCCCAGGAGAACCCCCTGCAGGTTCTTCCTGAGTAAGTTCTCCTGAAAATTGGGGTGGAACTGAGCCAAAACGTACTGTTACCTGTATGGTGCTGAATGCTACGGATAATGACAAACGTACATCTAGCCTTTATCCGAGATGAATTTCATGGGCTTTGATCTGACATCGTAATCGTCAGACAGGTGACATTAGTAATAAAAACTAATTATACGCGAAGGATAATTTTTAAGTACACACTGTCTTTCGCTACTGCATTTCACAGTTATCACCTAATAGTTACCTTGCGTAATCTATGGTAAGCAAGAAACTCCTTCTCATTTAGATAGGTTATCCGAGCACATGCTGAGATTTACGAAAATTACCCGACTATTACTCGATTACGATTATTTCTCGGCAAAAGGAATGAATAATGTAAAGATATTTTGATAAAAAATTAATAACTAAGGAAAAAATCCCCTTTAGAAATCACAAGAACTATTCACCAACTTCACTGCAACAAGCAAAAGCTTATTTTTTTGTACATGATGTATTTCTCCCTTTAATATTTTCAAGAAAATATATCTTTGAAAATAATTTAAGCGTCACTGAAAAAAATAATAATAATTTTAAACATTAAGCAAAAACAAAAAATGAACAGAAAATAAATCGCAATAATTAATCCTATGGAGAGGAAATCTGATATTAACCTTCAGTGGATTTATTTTTTAATAAACTCGCATTTTGAAGCAATATGTGGTCTATTGGTGATGCCTTAATGATTTTGAGCTTAAACCTTTCCTTGGGCAGACGAAACATATTATTCTGGCTATTCTCGAGTGTATCTCGGGCACTGTGAAATCAGTCTTTCCCGAATTATTTCACCTGTGCTTTTTATCGTTTCGAATAATGGAAAATTACCACTCGGTGGAATTTTCTGCAAAAAAAAAAAAAAAAAGAAAGAAAGATAGAAAGAAACGACGACATTTTGCTGAGCAGCCTTCACACTTGTCTCAAAGACACTTTGTTGATTACATTTCTCAACGCAGATGAAAACTAATCCAACACGAAAGAGTATTATTTGATGCTCAAAGCGAGACAGTAAAGGGAAGAAGCGAAAAAAGATTCTACTGTACAGATTGTGTTGGGTTTTGTGTATTACCATTTTTAGCGAGTTTTTCACGTAGTGGAACAAAAGCGCTATTAGGACGCAAATTTCGTCTTCGTTCCATATTTTGTCGTACCTTTTTCTCAGCCAATAAGCAACCAATTGACCTCGGGTTTTCGGCATTGGGTCGCATTTGTGCCCTAGATGAGCCGAATCATATTTAAATTATCATTATTGTAAAATACAACACGCGAAAAACGCGCTAAAATTACTTGGCCATGCCAATGATTGATATCTTGTTTCGAATTTATCCTTCACGATCAAATTCTGATTAATAAGTTGGGAGCACTTATTTCTTCCCAACCTTCATCTTCTTTCATAGTATTTTATATGATACTAAAACGATTTCAAACTGCCATTTTTTAATAAATAGTATTCAAAATTTAAGGTATAAAAATTGTATGTTAAAAATAAAAAATTATTACTTTGATATGAATAAATTACAATTACAAATTTAAAGTTAAAAATTGAAGATAAAATCAGGAATTAAATGTAAAAAGTTAGAATAGGTTGGTATCGAGTGGAGCTTCTATGATTGGCTGACCGGAGTTAGGTTTGAAGCTGAACGGCCAATCATTGAGTAATTAGGAGCTCAAGCAAGTCGCGATGCAAAGATGGAGAGACTTTAAGATTGAATATAAAAAATAAATAATTAAATAAACGAGAAAATATTAAGTAATTAAAGAAAAGCAAGATCAATTAGGATTGATCTGTGTGTGTAAGTGAAGATCAGGAATGTATTGCTATGATTGATTTATTATCGGAGTTGTCAATATTATTGAAGAAATTGGAAGCAATTTTCCTAATCGTTTGTCTAATAGTGGGCATTCTACTTACAGCTCTGAGGTCTACATTTCTCATGAACCAGTGAGCATTAAGAATTTGCTTTAAGGTATCCCAACACATTGAAAATGACCAAATTCAGTCAAGACAAAAATTTTGTTTTTTATTTTATTGAATAGAGTTATCTTTTGATTTTACGAAATATACTTTATTTTATTTCTACACTACCTAGAGGCCAAGTTACAATCATTTTATAAAGTTAGAAAAACCGGAAGTGGGTTTTTGATCCACCAGAAGTGGGCATTTAAATTGCTCAAAATCTATCATGGCGAGTCTGATAACTCTAAATATTACGAATGTATTTCTATAAAACTTTTTAAACCTGATATTTGCGTGTTTCTAGAGAATGTACTAAAATATTTCTTATTGTATGAATATTTTTTGAGTTATGGCTTGTTATTTAAATAATGGTCTCATAAAAAATGTAATATTTTTTGTAAATTTTACTCAATCACAGCTCTAACATTTTTAAATTTTAATAAAAAAATTAAAATTTTAGTACAATTTCTAGATAAATGCATCTAGTTGGTTTTCGTAATACTTTTACTAATATATGTTTATTACTATTTTCTCTAACTGCTTTGAAGTTTTTCAAAAATATTGCTAAAATTTTATAATTGTGATTTTTGAAAAATTGAGGTAATTTATTTTGAATTTTGATAGTTAAATAGTAATACTTATTGGTATTGAGTCCTAAAAGGGCATTTATAATGCTTTAGTTTGCTATATTGTTAAAAAGTACTCCGAATGTGTTCGGATACTTTAAAATTAAATTTTAAACACTTTCTAAATAATTAATATGGGTCTTTGCTGCATGTCCCCAAACAGGAGAGGTCTTCTATACTTGTGTTGAGTCTACCTTGTAGGCTTTAATAATCAAAAATGATCAATTTTACACCAATTCTCTTAGTAAAACGCTGTATTAGTTAATTAAAGCTAAATAGTTTGTTATTTATCAGTAAATGTGTTTATCTGATGTAGATGTAAAGTGAAAGAATTAAGTCTCACCAAGAGGAAAATTGATTGACATAGAACAGGGTGTAAAATGGAGTGGATTATTTAGGTATCCCGAAATCCCTCATTTGTATTATCCGCGAACAACGAGTATTACAACCTCAAAAGTTTGCTTGTGGAAGTAAATTTTGTGCTTGTTTATAGAAAAGAAGAGCGTGAGTGTGAAGGAGAATTTAATTTAAACCCTTAAAAATTTCCTGCAGGAGAGAGGCATATGAATATTTTTTAAAAGTTTTCTAAGAAATATAATCAAAGCAAATCTTTGAATTACTATAGAGAGTGAATTTGATATTGACAGAAAGAAATTCAATTCCATTAACTGCAGTTAGTTTTCATATTTAGTCATAATTTGCATCACATGCAAAATTATAGAAAGATAAACGTAGAAACATCTACACACACACTCTCTCTCTCTCTTTGAACTGTTTTTCCTTTTCTTCTTCATGTCTGTTGGTTTTGTTAGCTCAAAGTTCATAGTTGAGTAATACCTTTTTTTTAGTAACACCAAAAGCTCGGTTTGTGAAAAGACATTTATCTGATCTAGATAAATTTTAAATGTAAGAAAAGAGAATGGCTGCAGATAGATAAAAATTGCTAGGAAATTTCGTGAACGAATCGTTTATATTAAACAAAAACCTCAAAAATCATGGGAGTATTAAAAGATAACTAGGGGGTAAAAAAATACCATTGGGTTGAAAATTTCTTGCTTTTTTTTCTTGGATTCACGTAAATTCTCGAAACAGCAGATTATGTTCAATTTTTCCTGTAAGCTATGGTGTTTTCGTTATCATTTCCCATACAAACACATCCCGTTTCCCCCCTTTCCGAACATATTTCCAACACCGAAATGCTTTTGTACAATGCAGTGATACAAACAATTGTTTTCACATCTGATATAAAATTAAAGAATTTCAAACTGGTACACCACTTCCTAAATTTGAAATAATTATAGCACATAATATAAAAAAAAAATAAGTCAGTTACTACTTAGGTCAACAAAGAAAATTTTTATTTTATTATTATTTTAAAATTTTGTTTTACTTTATTTATTTTTGTTATTGTTTGTTAAATAGTTACAATTAATATAAATATGCATATACATATGATAGAATCACAATATTATGTGACAAAACAGAAAGCGATTTTCCTTGCAATATTCCATTTTGCTTTCTACATAGGGTGCTGGACTATTTTGTTTGTTTGTTACAGTTTACTCATTAGTTAAATTTATAATTATTCTAATAAAATAGTATAATAAAACTAAATTACATTGTCAGAATTCAGGCCATCCCAGGTGGGATGAGAACCCGCGATCTTTGGAATAGAAGTCCAACGCGCTAACAATTGTGCTGCAGGGACACAAAGAACGATTTTCCTTTCTATATATGCTGTTGAAATAGTATTCTTGTATGTTAATATTTATTCATTTTTTAAATTTAAGGAATGAATTATTTTTCTAAAAATTGTATTAATATCAAGTGTTATCCATTACCAGTTAAAAAAATGTATTTGAACTTGAATGAATGGATAGAAAGTATTTTATTAACGATTGAAAATTTGAACAAGATATATAGATAGATAGATATACAAAGAGAGAGAGAGAGAGAGAAAGAGAGACAGAAAGTAAGAGGATGAACTAATATTAGGAATTGAAAAATTATGCGATTTGCTAAATATATTCGTACACACAGCACCCCGCGCGAGTGTGTGATCGCGGGTTAATTAATATTTAAAATTGATCTTTGACAGTTCAGTCAATAAGGTATTGGAATTAGATTCAAATCGCTTAGAAGTCTATTGTTTGAGATATGAGTTACGATTATTATCAAACGTAAGTGAGTCTACACATATAATTAAATATTAAATATCTCCTCCTCCTCGCTTTGGTACTTTGTATATGTGTATTTCCTTCTTTGGGTTTGTGAGGCTTATAAAAAATTAACAAATAATACTTATTTTTATTATGGGTGGTGTTCATTCTAACTCCAAATCATTAACGGATTTCAGGGGAAATCCTTTACAAAGGTAGTTCCATAAGCCATAGACATTATGATAAAATTTATATAAAATTGGGTGCTTGAGTGAAGGTTACAACTTCGAAAAATCAAAACTGTGCTTATTTTATTGAAATTTGTAGAACAGGATTCTTTTGCTATAATTATATAGGAAATAAGGTTATATATTTAAATATAAACAATAGCTATTTTAGCTTAAATAAAACTTACCTAGAGCACTTTGAACAAAAAATGCTGCTTTTAAGATGAATATCAACTCTATTGATGTAGCTACATTCTTCCAAATGTCAACCATGATTGAAAACGATTCAATACTCTTTTTATAGATAAGTGTTTCTCTCTGCTTATCACTTTTTATATACGTAAGCTCCTCCACGAGCCTAAACTAAACTTAATTTAAAACTTCCACTTCCTCTTTAAATTAAAGGATTCTCTAGAAGAAACTATTTGCTTGAAAATATATTCATCGAAAGGAAGTTCTATTATTGGATAGGAATAGATATCAACAATCTGTGTTTAATTTTTTTTTTTTTTTATGTTCTATTTTAGATATAAGCTTCGAGAAATGTTTGCGTGTGTGTGAACAAGTGATTAAACTTATATGCTATTTTCGTTTTTTAGTATTATTTATTTCTGTAATGTTTTTTTTTGGGGGGGGGGGTTAATGTATAGCCCTTAGAAGAAAAAAAAATGTATTTAAAGCATTTTTCTTTTCCTTCAAATTTTTATTAGAAATTCACAACTTTTATTTTTGTAGTACAGATTTTTTAGCATTATAATCATAAACTTAGATTGAAATACAAAAAAATTTACAAAAATTACTGAAATATATTAGTTTTCTAGATATTTTGTAAATTATACTTAAATCACAAGGAACATGATGTTTCTTTCACCTATTTTGGCATTCATTATCAAACATAAATGTTAAAACAATAAGGAAACATTAGAATTTACGTATATTTTAATGAAAACCTCAACTAAAATAGGAAAAATTAGTGTTAAGTAGGAAAGTCGAAGGTTAAATATCATCTATTCTGTACCAAGATATACAATTAATAACAGAAAAAAAATTCCGATTAAAGATTTAAATTTAAGAACTTAGATTAATTGTATATTAGGGTTGAATTCCAAATCCCACGAGGGCTATTGGGAGTTAACTTATAAGTCTGAGTCTCAGTAAAGTGATGAGAACGTGAGTTCGTGAAAGCCAACGTGAATGTTTTCAGCTTCAATAATTTTGACATCAAACAACCCTTCAACACTATATGACGTTATTAGTGCTTGGAATCAAATCTATGGCAGAAATTGCTAGTTAATAACTATATATAATATGTATTTTCAAATATAATGATAAAATTTTACCCTCATACAGAAACAAAACAATTTAATTAACAAAAATGGGCGCTTAAACTTATAAATTACATAATTTTGTTCCTGAAAACATACAAAATATATTTTGATTGAGTAATGTGACCTAAGATGAGAAACTTCTAGCCAAACGTGAAACATAATTTCTTGACGTGGTGTAAAAGTTTGGAGAGCCCGATAGCTGCTCAGTTGCCGTCCTTGTAAATTTACCGCGGTTCAGAATTTCGAGGTTCATCGCCAATATCTTTTGCTTTGCTTTAGAACATGGCTTTAATAAAATACTTCTCAAAAATATTTTCTTAGCTTCTAAGATTTAATGTTCTAAAATTTTTTATAAAAGTAGTTATTAAAAACTCATTTGAGTATTTTGAACTCTAAAAAAATTTACATGCAATTTTCTTTAATAATTGACGTCCTGCATATATCAGATTTAAACTACATAAAGGCTAATTTTTAAAACAAAATATAATTCTATAATTAGTTTATGTATTCCAAATTTGTATTGTATTACAGAAGGTCAATGCATGGAATTTTATTCAGAACTTGTAATTTGTGTGTTTTTATTAAATAGAAGTGAATACCAATTAAATATATTCTTATCAAATGCATGAAAGGTAACGCAAATGCATTTTAAAATCCAGTTCATTTAACGTTTCAGATCCTACGACCGAATATGTAATGGTCTGCTAGTTGCAAAGATGAAACTCGCCTAACGGGATATAGAGATATTAGTGCATACAGAATTTCTGCTATCTGTTACCCAAAAATTAAATAAAAAAAAATAATTCATTTAATGTAGAACATATCTGAAAAATCTGTTCAATCTAAGCTCATATGAATGAGAAAGATAAAATGATGTTCTCAGAAATAAAGAAGTATCTATAATTAAATGTATAAAACTCATTTTATTAAATTTAGATTAAATCACAATTATGAATCATTTTTATTGTTGTAAATAAAAGTGAATGTAATTAGTACACATAATTAAACAAAACAATAATTTAATAGTTTTTTAAATGATAAATTTTCTAATTTTGGTCCTTAAGGATGTTTTAAAGCACCACTATTTTGCTTAGAAAACTACAGCACTAACGGATTCTTATACGGCATATAAAAAATTCGCCAGTTTGTATCCAAAATATTGTTAAGAACTTTGTGTAATGAATGCTTAAAATTGTGAAAATAGTTTATATCGGGTAGTGAAATATGTAATATTACAATCTGTTGTACTTATTTTATGTTAAAATTGTAATATCCGCAAGCAACGCCGTTCCTTACATTATAATGCCGATTCAATAAGCGAAATGTTAGCGATTGAGTCAAGTTGGCATCATTTTTGGCTATCATGTTGGCAACTCTGTGACCATTTTGGCGAATTGTTGACCATATGGATGCTTCTTGAGATTACTGAAGAAATATACTAACATCGCGAACTATGATGTAAGCGATATTTCTCGAAAGATCCATGAGGGCTATAAATAGGGAGTCGCTCGCCGAAAGTGAGTCAGTTCGATTGTCTTGTAGTAAACCTGCAATTAGTGATTATTTCGGCTGTTGAGTAAATATAGCGAGTGCTTGTGAATAATCTTTAACATACTTGTATTTTAGACACTGATAGTTGTGTCTGAGTGCTGTAAAGGGTCTGAAACCCTTCTGAAATTTATTTTGAGAATTTTGCCGATGTATCCTGAAATACTAAGGATTGATTTTCCACAATAAATTTTCTACGTTCCTGAAGAACTACCTTGCTCTTTGAGACTCTAAACCAGTGATTTGCAAAGTGGTCTATATAGCCCCCCAGGGGTTTATGACAACCTTCAAGGGGCCCACGTCAGTGAAAAAATAATTTGAGGATCCATGAGGTGTAAATGGGGGCCTATGATAGTGACAGCCTAAATTTTACTAAGACAAGGTACATTTCAGCATTTCTTTCCAGAATTAAGCTAAAGAAGTATATATTGGACATCACGAATTTTTTCAATTTGTCACAGACAATCTTTCAGAGCATTTTTACTTACTTTCAACATTTAAATGCCATTTACTCAGATTTTGAAAATAGGTTTGAGATTGCTTTTCTTATAACAATTACCACAAAGAATAAACAATGAACTCATATAGTCACATTAAAATTAAATATGTCATATTACAATAGGAACTGATTAAAATAGGCCCTAACGAAGATAATAAAATAAAGGTTAGAAACAGATATCAGCAGTTTCAGTGACATAACGGAAAACATTAGCCCCCCCCCTTCAAAGTCAGGTTTTGGGCGCCAAGCTGGATCTTTCAAAGGACTGCAAAACCGTAACGTAACATAGGCTTTGGGCCCTTTAGAATCCGCATTGCGGGGGTGTATGTTAGGCCACTGAGCAGTTTTGGCTTTAAAAAGACATACCTGTTATTTCTTGCAAATCATGGAATATCATGAGAAAGTTTTTAATTGCTTTTCCTAGTGAGAGGGAATTTCAGTGAGTTTGAAAATCTCAAAAACTAAAACAAAACAAACAAAAAAAAAAGAAAGAAAGGGAAAGAAAACTGTACACTTACTAACAAAGGAGATTTATGGTTAAACCTGACTAGATTAAAATTAAGAGAGGAAAATTTGTTATTGAAGCACAAGATTTATTCCTCTCATTAAAAGCATTTGTTTGTTGTTCAGTTATTTTGTGTATTAATTTAATTTTAATTTAATTCATTAACATGCACTTCTTAAAGTTTAAACACTAAACTTCACTACAGTTAGAAATTTAATTATTTTAAAGTAAGTAGTACTACCAGCTATATACAAAAAGACATTTAAGTTGATAAATTTGCAAAAATTAAATATTAGGTAAGCAGGGCCCAAAGCCGAAAACCATGACAAGGGGTCTGTGAGACAAAAAAGTTTGGGAACCTCTGCTCTCTAAACCAATAATACTGAAAATTCATTTCTTTATATATAATTCAATACTTACAACATGTACTATAAACGATTTT